TAATCGGTCGCAAAGGTGCAAGCTACGGGGCTGTCTTCCAGCGAACTGTGTTACCTAGTGACTCTCGTCCGCATACCCTGGGCAGTCTACCTAATAGATACGCACGACCCATAATGTTTGTGTTGAAGTTCGTGGTATTGGTATAACCATAGGTGGACTCGTAGCGAAAAACTGAAACGCGAAAAAATAGAAAAGGAGAAAAAAAAAAGAAAAAAAAAAAAAAAAAGGAAAAAAAAGCAAAAAAGGAATTCAAACAGCCAGATAGGAATGATTGCTCGCAGAGTCTGACTTTTTCTGAGGGAGTCTGGCTTCTTACCTGTTCTTGCCTTCTTACGTTCCACCCGTCTGATCCGTTCCTTTTCTGAACCTGTATGCGTGTGTGTGTGTGTGTGTGTGTGTGTGTCCCACCTCAATCCCACCGGTGATCAGGGTAGGGGTCGGAAGGCCAGTAGCCAAGGGGTACCGGGCCTTCCGGCCCATTACCCCCCGGTCACCACGCAACACTCGCACAAACCCACAAACGCATATGGTTATCTCATATAAAATTTTGTAATCGTCAAGCTCCTAACCTGCTCGTCGTTGACCCTGCCCGGCTGGTATAAGTGCCGATTGCTGAACACTTTCTCGACCATTTTCCAACATTCCCTTTTTGCAAAGCCATTGGATGCCATGGTCTGAACCAGCGTGTGGATTTCAAAAGCAGCCTCCTATTGGTTCGAGCAGAGCAGGAGCACAAGAACGGTCTATGTAGATAGAATTTGGAGGGATTGAGCAATACTGCGGTTAGATTTAAACCTCATGAATCTAACCGGTGTGAAGTTCGGCCCTTTCTTCTTGTCGTGTTTTGAGGTGGCATATGTGCCACTCATCGTGGATACGACCGAGAGGGTAACGCTCAGAAAGTTAGCCATGATGCCCTGGTAGTCTTCTTTTACCTGTGTGGTTTCTTTTACCTCGATGAATTCATGCGGGTAAATCCTACGGGCAGGGTCCTGTCCAGGTACACCATTGCTTAGGAATCCGGAGATGAGTGTGTTGTTTAGGGCACACAAATCATCAATATACCTGTTTGTTTCTTCGAAACATTTTAGGGCCCGCCAATCCTGTTCATTAGCCAAGTGAGAAATCAGTTCAAATTCATATTTGAAAAAATAGATATCACACAGGATGGGGGAACATGCCAAACCCATCGGAATACCCAACACTTGTCGCCAAACTCTATCTCCCAGTTGTACCACTCCAGTGGACACAAGTCATTCGCAAGCCTTCACAATCCCTTCTTCGTCAAAATAGAGTTGCTCATGATCCCTGTTCTGCATGCTGTCCACCCAGTACAAGTGTAGTGAGTCGTTGGCTGCAATCATGATGGCGATGGCGTCCCTGGTGGTTCTGGCCCTCCTCCACTCCATGGCACTTTGGACAAAGAACTTGATTGCGGAGATAAGCCCATCCTGAGAGTTGTCTGTCGGTATGGTCTCGAAGCACCTGGTTATATCCCCAGTGAAAACTGAGTATACGTGACGTGGGAGGTTGGCCATGAACTCTCCTACAGACGCGATGGGCCACCAGTAGTTCGGCCCCACGCCATGTTCATTAAAGATTGCGTCGCTTTTACTGGCACACAAGGCTTGTACGTCGTGGGACATGAATTTCCGTAGGCACGCGCAGACATTCGCAACTTCTGAGAGCATAGTGCCGGCTGTGTTGGTGATCCACTTGAATGATTCCTTATGCCCCTTGTACACCACCATGAGATGTGGCAGTGGCATCTTCTCGATCGTCACTCCGATGGGCGCAATCGCAGTAGCTACTTCCTTCAGTTGGGCTGCAACAGTCGATGGTTGCTCAAGAAGCTGCACGAAGTCTGGTCTTGAGACGCGTGCAAGCGCCAGCCTTCTGATAAAGTTCACGCGTACAAAGGTAGGTGTATGCGGAGCTTTGTCAGTAGGGCAGACCAGAAATCTCTTCGTTAGCCATTCGACTTCGCTCCTTACAGCGATGTTGTTGAAAGGTTCCTCCGTGATGTGCCTATGACTGGTTCGGTACTCCTTCAAGCCCTTCTCTGCGCTTTTCATTACTACCTTCTTGACTTTCCTCTCTTCTTCCATAGACAGCTCCATATCGCATCTGTTGGTCGCCAGGATGCAGTCCACAACTTGCTCCACCTCCTCTAGCGCAAAACTCCCGTTCAGTGCCTTCATTGGTATATGATTGAGGCCTGCGTTGAGCATCAGCTGTAGTTGCCCATTGTTGGTGATGCCCATGTCTGAGGTGATAACGTGTAGACAACCGTCTGCCGGTAGGAGTCTGATTGCGGCAGGGTTGAGAAATTCTGCATGCCTTCCTACACCGCATTGGCAGCACTCCGGTAGGTAGCTTGCCTCCCATTTCACAAATTTGAATTTCTTGAAGACTTGCCCTGACTTGCAGAGCTTGGCTCCGATTGGGTCACAGTAACGCCATCCGATCACCACATCATCTAGCCAATCCACAATCTTCTCCCCTATGACTGTCTTGAGGTCATTGATTACCAATCTTTTGAACGGGACGGCCTCCATAAGTCTGCTTGTGTAGCTTACGTGAACGTACTCCTTCCTCTCCGGTCTGCCCCTCTTCCAAGCAACCCTGCCTGACGGTAGAGTGATCATGCACCCCCCTTCGATTGGATCGAACTGTTTGTCCTGCGCATCGCATGATACTAAAATTTGAGGAAACATCGATGGGATTGTAAGGTGATTATTAATGAGAAGTTACGGGGATCAAACAACAATCAATCCAAAAAAAAAATAATAAATCATTTAGACAAGCAAACAGATGGAATCTCGTGCGCGAACCTCGAGCGTACCATAGGCCAGTTTGCCTAGGTAGGCGTTGATTGCCTACGCCCACATCAAGGAGATTCGATAATGCCTTTCCTGCACTTATTATTTCCGGCTGTTTTTTTGGCTGATCTGATCGTGAGTGAGTCAGCAGTGGAGATGGCGGAGCTGCCTTGAGAGGGAACGTGTGCGGGTCAGCTATTGCCCCGTGCATTCCAATTGCGACCTTGGTTGGCCTTATTGCAGTGCCCGGTGGGAACCGCATTCCGATCTCTTGCCTCATTCTGCACAACCTCTCTGCGCGGCATAACTGGCGAGGGGTTGCGAGATGCAAGCCTTTCTTGTCGTGCGGTGTGAGGGGGGGGGTCATGTGGTGGGTCCATGGCTTGCGCCATATTCCTTCTCGGGCTGGGCTCAAAGGGGAGAACCCTTTGCCTGAGCGAGACGATCAGACGGACGTTATTCCTCTGTCTCTTTTTCTGGTTGGCGAGGTAGTTCGGGGAAATCCTCGTTCGGCCCCTAGGATTCCCAGTGCTTCGTGTGGGCACGAGCACCCTGCCGATCATGAGCGGGGTGTTATACTTCCACCTGGACGTGTCAACGACAAATTCGGAAGTGAGCGTTGGGTCCTTCTCGAGTGCAAGAACAACGTCAGTCATGGCTTCCCGTATAAACATGAACGTGACACATGCTTCCATAGCAGGTTTCTAGGAAACCCGCAGGAAATGAATGAACATCGAGATTCTTACCTTGACTGATGCGACGTTGGGGAAAAGGACGTCCGGATGGGCAAGAAGGGACCATATCGCATGATCCATCCAGATGGGTCCATTGCCACAATCCTTCTTCCTTTTCGTGGCACATTGGCATCTGAGGTAGGGACGTCCGACGTTCCAACACTTCCTCAGGCTCCTTAGGCCTATCTCGATGGCAGTCCTGATCTCTTTCTGCCACATGACTGGGTTAGTATGTTCGCACTTTCTGTGATCTAGTGCCGATAATACAGGGAATTGCAACAGTGTTCGTTTGAAGAAAGGTTTGCCGTGGGCAGTACGGTAGCTCTCCGGTCATAGCGTTCGCTTTGCAATTCGCAACCTCCTCCTTTGTGAGACCCGCGAGTGAGAACGGAGCGAGGTAGTTAAAGGTGTCCAGTTTCCAGAGTTGATGCTGGAAGCCGAGCCCGGTATGCTCAACCCAGTGCAGTGATGGTAGTGGCGCAAAGGCGGTGAACTGCGTGCCATGGGAGGGGGCAGTGTTGGGAGGGGTGCTGCTGGCGGAGGGGGTGATTTTAGCGATGGCAGCTCTCATCTCTTCCATTTCCTCAACCTCCATGACAAGAGCGCCTTTGACAGTGCATTCAGTTTGTGGTTTCTCGGCTGCCTGCCCCTGCAGGCTACGAATCCCCCTCAGCGGCGGCCATCCGCGGACAAGTCCGCGGCCGCGGCCTAGGCCGCGACCCCGCGGACGTGTCCGCGGTCCTCGACCATGAAAAAAAATAAAAATAAAAAAAAATTAAACACTTCTGAAAAACAAATATGTAATGCAGAAAAATATACTGAACAACTTTTGCCTTGTGGTCATATCCAAAATCATTACTGAATTTAAAATAAAAAATCACGTACGTTTCATGTTTTTTTTTTCGGAAAAAAAAAAACAAACAACTTTTGCCTCAGGAAAATTATTTTTTGATTTTTTAAAATTCGAAGGCAAAGTAAAATAAAAATAAAAAAATTGTGCACTTAAGATCTCGAAAAGATCTACAACCCCATATTTTTTGTTTTGTTTTTTGATAAAGTTTTAAGGTTACAAAAAATTCCTGAAAGTCGCGGCCGCACCAAACCGCGGCCGGAGCCGCGGCGGCCGTGATCACGTCCGCCCTCCGAGCTTGACCCCGCGGACGCGTCCACGGGTGTTTCATAGCCTGCAGGTGCGAGTGGTCTAGTCCCCAAATCTTCAGAAATAATCGCTCTACTCTAGCTGTCCTGGCGGGAAGTTCGACACACTCTCTTCCGTATTCTACCTTCCTTACTTCCAAATCTCTTGCTAGTGCTAACAACTTGGCAGTAAAGGCATCTTTCCCCCCGTCCCAAGAGGCGGCGAGATTAGTGAGATCGCTGAAGCCTATCATACTAGAAAAATTCGGGTAGCGCTTGGTTCCCATCATCGTTTTCATTGCATCCAGGATCTCGGGCTTCATGGTGGCAAGGAGTGCCTGCGTCGGCTTGCTAGGCCATGCATTATCCGTGAGCCATGTGTGCTTGCTTGTAATCTCCTCCCACCAACCTCCAGGGAAGTATTCCACCGGTGGGACCTGCAAAACACAAAACAGGCAAACCAGATAGTATTCGAGAAGGAAGGGGGTAGGACCACAGGGTGTATAGTCACACTTACCTCAGCTTATTCTGTCACTGCACCCACCGAAATTCAACCCACCTTGTACCCGAACTGATCGTAACTGCTCGTATGCGGAAATCTAGGCAATACCTCATGCCATCCCAACGTGGTTAATCACAGGGTTGCGGTTGGTGGGACACACCACCAACAGCGCTGAGGGGGGATCCCCTACGTAAAGGTGTGTTTTAAGTATGCCAAATGTGAAAACAACAAGTGGAGAAACGATACGGAAACCGTACCGAGATCAGGCTCTGAAATACTGCGTCGGCGCAACCCCGTTGGCTTATCAGGCGGACACAGGACATTTTACCATGCCACGACTCTTTCCTTGAGGAACCATCGGGATACAGACGAGCGACTTCCTTCGGATCATGGTGCACAAGTAGGCAAAGAAGCTCTTCCGTTCATGAATTCCACAGACAAAAAAATTGACGATAGGAAATGCGACTGCAATTCTACCAGCTGATGCGTATATAACAGACATTCATCCTGATAGATTATAGTGATGCGTATCATAGGAGGTCTATCACAGATCGGAACTATAACTACAGACATGTGTATGCATATATAATCCTACGACCATTTTATGGTTAATAGGCAGGGATTGTGAGGCATACGAGTGTTCTCTGCAATAACATGCCACCGAAAAATACCCGGTGGATGTGCTTTTGCTGACAAAACCCGCACACGTCTTCGGCCTGCAATTTATCACGATACATCTTACAAATAGGTTGAGTGAGATAAACTCAGATTGTCGCGGAACCGATGCAGGTATTATACATGCGAGACAGCCACATAAGTGCAATAACCGGGGGAGAAAACTACCTTTTTTTTCAATCCGAGTGAGTTGAATGTGACGTAGAGTATGCGACTTGAATGATTTATGGGAGAAGATTCATAACGGGGGGGAATGAGGAATTTAGAAACATAGAAGACGGTGTCGAAATGAAAGCAGGGGGCTGCAATTCTTTAAGGAAGGTAAAGGTTGACGAGTCATGCATAGGTTTGCAGAGACAACAAGAACACCTAGCCTTAGAAGCAAATTCACTTTTCCGATCAAGTGTCCGAGGGAAAGAAAATCAAACCGAATAATCATCCCACAAAAGAAAAATAAAAAATTATCCGAGATTGAATCAATGAAAAAAACTTCTTCACACGTATGCAGGGAAAGAGAACCAAACCAAATATTCACTCCACACAAGAATGAAGGGAAATGACGCATATTTGAAAAAAATCGAGCGAGAACTGAATTCATGAACAAAAAATGCTTCCTTATATGCCAATCGAACTGAAGCGTCGTTGAGTCCGAGTCACACCCGTGGTACATGCATAGCGTAGCAGAATATAGGACGCTGAATACTGGAAGATTAAATAGGATGCATTCCCACAGGCAATTCCTCGTATTATGGGACTCTAGCCCCGACAACCAAAGCAGGGAGGGCAGTGGCGATCCCTGAAGCGCTTTTCTGCCGCTAGCCACCATCGCACGGCTTCTTCAGAGGGAGAACACCTGCTTTTCTTATAGACGCTTGAGAAGGAGCAGCGGGGGGTGTGGAAAGGACTGTTTGAAGTTGGTGCAAGAAAGATAGAAAGGCAAGGACTGAGAGCAGCGTTATAAAAGCAAGACGTACGTAGGCTGAGATTTCAATGGCAACCCCAGCCCTATCCGCTACTTCCTCCTTCCCTAGTGCCAAACTGCCAAGCGCAAGTGCTTTGCAGAGAACCCAGCGAAGTGCATTCCACGGGATAAGGAGAAAGACAATTATCATGTTTTCGTGCGCAGCAGAGCATAGATTATGCAGCGAGGCGAGCAGGAAAAAATGCGGGAAGAGAAGGTGAGCATGGGCATGGCACATGAATGGAAGGCCAAGGTCCTATACCGCATCCTCTGCATTGCCAATCAGTTGGTCCACCATAGCAGGATCGACCTCGTAATCCAAGGCCTTCGGTGTGGTACCTCCGTCGTGATGACACGTTGATGCAGCCACTCCGCCCGAGCACTCTTACACTGGAGTCCCGTGAGCCGACTAACCTAGGCGCCTGTCTCCCCTTAGGCCAATCAGAGCTCATAGGTCGAATCCACCATGGGAGAAAGGTCCGTATCTCCTGTCCTCAAATACCGTCTGATTGTTCGTCAATACCCGAGCTCGACAGTCTCCTTGTCCGAAAATTGACGCCACCTGCCTTGCCTAAAAAATTGAAAGGGAACCTGTCCTATGAAAAAATGATCCGGCGGGAAGAGAAGCAGTATTGTGGCCACTTTCGTGAAACATCGTGAAGAAAAAAAAAGAACAAAAGCTCATTTCA